GAGCTTGTGTACGGAAAAACACACAAAAAAGATTAGCTTAAGGACACTGGTTGAAATTTCGTCAATATGAGAAATGTGCTGGAATTTCAGACGAAGCAATCAACCGCGTACCGAATCGGGCTGTCCATTTATACCCTTTTGGCAACAGCCTGAGACTGCACAGCGATCACAAAGGGTGAGGTGCTTCGATTTGAGTGATCACTTTCCCCCTCGAAGTCTCCCTTCGCCCCGGCCGATAATTACTCTCCTCCGGGGGCATTTAGCTTTGCTACTTCCCTATGCAAATAAACTGGCAAAAGAGCACACTTTCTCCCAACTTGCCCTCAGAAAATCTCTTTTTCCCCCGCCATTAATTTGTAGGCCGTCCCCGTGGCAACCGATCGGCAAATAATCATATTTGGCGATGGATGTCAAGTGTGATTACGAAACGGTCGGGCGGTGGCCGGGTATGATACACGAGCGCGGCTGCGAATGTCCAAGACGGCGATAACATTGTGCTGCTGAGAAACTGAGAGACGATCCGTAAAAGAAAACCACTTTGTTCACACAAGCAAGTCATTTTTAGTCGGGATATTTATAGTTCCTTCGACTGTCTTCGATGCCCTAACGGTAGCACTACATCAAACAAGATTATTTTCAATATTAATTGTGGTTTCTCGTCTACTTACCACTACGGATCACAGGATATAAAACGTAATTTCTATAATATGAATTTAGTTCAGTGCGCACTTAAGTAATTTTGAAACCCGCGTCCGTGCTTTTGCAATATCTGCTCCGCTATTCTGTTGCATAACAAGACTTTCAGACTAAATGTTGCCGCGAAATGTCAGTTTTCATATATTTGGATTCTAAGGAATTTGAGCATGTTGCCTTCTCCGGTTAAAAACAGTTCGAGGTCAAAGACCTGCTTTCTGCACAAAGTTGTCAGGAACAATTCAAACTAAGACTTAAATAAACCACATGAAATCCTGGCTCGCCATTGGGGAAGAAAGCCATGAGCAATATTGCTCACCTCATAGGAGGTCTGGTCATAGGTATGTGCAAGGCCATTGACCGCTTGATCTCCATTTCGTGACC